ATTTAATCCGGCCTCTTTCGAATCGATAATGTGCCCGCAAGGACACTTCTGTTTCCCCATGCCCAGTTCCTGTTAACTGACGCGGTATTACGAATCGAAAGTTGAAATAGTCAAGTAGCACTAATTTGCTTGAATTCCTTAAATCTGACAATGAGGAACTGGCTTTTGGGGCTACGTTGGACAACTAGAAGCTTGTCCTTTTCCTGCTAGTTAGACTGAAGCTGGATCGGACATAGCTTGGCAGTGTTAAGAAGTACGCCCATTTTTCCGATTCTCTCTAGCTGATCATGTCCATGCAGACTAAGACTAGTAAAGCGGACAAGTTGGCTTCAATTATTGGCCAAATCGCCAAAAGCCAATGTTACTGGACAGTAAAAAAGTCGCTCACAGCAAGGAACCGTTGATTTTTAAATGATCTGTTATTGCTGTACAAAAATGTCAAAATTTTTGCTTCTTTTCTGTTCTATAAATGACTTCAAAACGAAACAGCAAGCTATCATTTAAATAATATATTCCCTCAAGAAAAAACTGTTACACTTTGAAATTTTAGATACTTTCTAGCTATTTTAGAACCATTATGTAGCTTCAACAGGACTGGAAAGTAATTACAACTAGTTCTGTTTTTAAACGGTCTATTTTACACGGTTTTGAGTTAACACGGTTTCAAAATTAAAAATTGTATTCATGGTCACACGACATTATTCCATTTAGCACGATTTAAAATAACATATGATCAATGTATTTTTTACACAATTTTTTTAATACTTTACTTTTTCTGGAACCAATCTACCGTGTAAAATCCGAATTAGATGTACTTTCCACACTTTTTCTTTTCAAGGACTATTTATTTAATTTTATATTAGCTTTGATTTTAAAAATATGAAAAGAGCAGCTCCTCTTCTTTCAATAGTTAACTATTTGGTGGAGTGTTTATCAAAAATATTTCTAGGTTTTATCTCATTTTGTTTTAATGTTTAAATTCTAGTTTTCCAAGCCTCAAATTAACACTTTGAGACGGGAAGTTAACTGTAAGAATACCTTTAAAGAAATTGTGAAAACATTGTGCGGCTTCACGCCAAAAATTGAAATAGCACTCCCTGCTTATCAAAAAAAGGGTTGACATCGATGCATTCTTAATTATGATAGGCTTTCAATATTAAAGGAATAAAAATACGTACATATATGAGAGTGAAAAAAATAATTATTAGCTTTTTAAATATAAATATTTAATTGAAATATTAATGAACGGAACAATAGGAGAGCGTTTATTTGATGGCCATGCAAAATTAAATAATTATTCGGCAGCATTTAGGCAATTCCCAGTACAACATCGCGTTTTATTCCCAAAGGTGGAAAACTATACAAATTCATAAATTATACTCTTTTGTTTTGCTTTGTTTTTTTGTCAACAAATATTTTATGCCGGCCAACAAATGATTTTGTTGTTAGTGCCCTGACGTGGCGCATTTCTGCCATTTTGGCAGCAACAACGGCCGGAAATGTAAAATAATTAATATTCACTCACTATACATATATACTTGGTATACGCGCTTATACATAAATACTTATGTACTATATATATATATGTATGTATTTAGTATATAAGCGTACACTAATATTGTTGCTGCCATTTTGTTGTAGCTCACAACTTTTATTCGTTTCATATACATAATACATTATTTTTGTTTTTGTTTTTGCTTGCCGAAAGGAAATTTCCGGTTAAGGCGACAACGACAGCCTGTCTGAGAACTGTGGTGGGGAGAGGGGGGGGGGGGGGGGGACATTTAACATTAGCCGTTATAATTTTAATGGCGTTTAATAGCGAGTGGCGAACGCACAAGAATGTAGGAATAACGTCAGCTGGGCAGTCGAGCGGTCAGGCCAGCAGTCCGGCAAAAAATACATTAATTAGAAAAAACAAACAAAAAGCAAAGGAAAAAAAGCTGCAGTAATAAAATAATAAAGCACGCCAACGTGACCGACCACAAACAACAGGGGGAGGGGTGCGGGGGGCAGAAAGGACGGGGCAGGGCTTAGGGATGCTGTTGATGGGGTTGGGGTCGGGGTTGGCATACGCCTTGGTGTTGGTGTTGGTGTTGGCGTTGGGTTCTTGCAAGCGTCTCTCGAACGAAGTAGTAAATTAAGAGCTTCGGTCAGGCCAGCTAAATACCCACAAAATTCAAGCACTTGACATAAATTCCTTTGGGTTGCCAAGCTCTTGGCATGGTCAGCTCTCAACTCTCCTCCCCCGCCTGCGTCTTGCTCTTGCTCTTGGTCTGAGTCTAAGTGTGGGAGTTCGCATAAAAATTAAAAAAAAAATATATGTATATAGAAAAAACTGCGCAAATAATTCATAATATTTAACGCAGTTGATGTGCGTGTGCGGGTTCGTGCTGGATAGGGGATAGGTCCGCGGAGGGGTTCTGAAAGCAGAAAGCTGAAAGCTGTGGCGTAAAGAAATATGTACGCTTTTTAAAATGGCGACGGCTGCGACGGAAGTGAAAAGAAATGGCAAAAACTATGTCAGCAGAAAATTGCAAAGCAACGCTAGACCAGGACAATTACGATGACGACAAAAACACACACACACATACACACATTTTTATTTCTTATGACAAAATTTGTCAAATTTCATTTATAGCTGGTTTGGCATGGCTTGCAGATACATATCTACAATCGAGCATATCTAAACTATTCGTACTTGCAATTGAAAATCAAAGCCGATGACGCTATAAAAAATTCCCTATACGACCAACTTCGAACTGTTTTATTTTGCTTTCGTTTCCTTGCTTCAAATAATGAATTTAAAAATGAAACGCGTCTGTTCCTTATCCCGTTTCTGCTGTTCCGTTTCAAATTTGAAGAAAGGTACGAGTTTGTCAGTGTTGCCAACTTTTTAGAGGAAAAAAGCTGTTGTTGACGGAAGAAGAGTGAAGTAAAGCTAAAAAATGTTACAAAAGGGCGTAAAAAAAGCTACATATCTTTTTATAAAAAATGTTCCTTAGCCCGTTTCTGCTGTTCCGTTTCAAATTTGAAGAAAGGTGTCAGTGTTGCCAACTTTTTAGAGGGAAAAAAGCTGTTGTTGACGGGAAGAAGAGTGAAATAAAGCTAAAAAGTGTTACAGAAGGGCGTAAAAAAAGCTACATTTCTTTTAATAAAAAATGTTCCTTAGCCCGTTTCTGCTGTTCCGTTTCAAATTTGAAGAAAGGTACGAGTTTGTCAGTGTTGCCAACTTTTTAGAGAGAAAAAAGCTGTTGTTGACGGGAAGAAGAGTGAAGTAAAGCTAAAAAGTGTTACAAAAGGGCGTAAAAAAGCTACATATCTTTTTATAAAAAATGTTCCTTAGCCCGTTTCTGCTGTTCCGTTTCAAATTTGAAGAAAGGTACGAGTTTGTCAGTGTTGCCAACTTTTTAGAGGGATAAAAGCTGTTGTTGACGGGAAGAAGAGTGAAGTAAAGCTAAAAAGTGTTACAGAAAAGCGTAAAAAAAGCTACCAACCAGAAAAGCCAAATTGGCAGCACTGGGGTATAGTTATATACAAGTAGTATATAACTAGGTGTACGTTGGTCTCCGGCAGTGCCAAGAATTAAAAATGATTGGAATCCGAAAATTTAAAATAAGTTTAAGAACAACTGATTTTCAGTTACAAGGCACTTGCTCAAAACGTAATTGAAATGAAATTCTGTGTACGGACATGGAATTGGGGATGGGGAAGTGTTTATTTATTACTAATTTCCTTCGTTGATCAATTTGGTTTTCAACACCAATTAACAGGTTGTTTTTCTCGCTTCTGCTTTCAGGTTGAACGCGTGTTTAAAGGCGTTCAGTACGTTCCAGCAGCGCTTGCGAGAGCAACAATGAACGGGCATTAGCCGACCAGAGAGACAGGAGTAGTAGAGTGAAAGAGGAAGCAGAAGAAGTGCGGTTAACCTTAAATCAAAATCGACGAAAATGTGCAAGAACAGCGACTCCAAGGAAGCGCCGACCGCATTGCTAAGTGCAACAACAGCAACAGCAGCAGCAACAACAACAACAGCAATGCCGGCGACGCTTACAAACTTATTAACAAAGTGCACAAAGTCAACAAGCAGTGGCAGCAACTGCAACAACAGCAACAACAACAGCAGCAACAGCATTAACTATTGTCAACAGAACCGCATACAGGCAACCGAAGGCGCTGCCATTTCTGGTGATGATGGCTGCACCAGCGATGGTGATGGTGCTGGTGATGGTGCGGAAATAGGCAATGCCAACGAACCACAAAAACAACGAGCAAAACGTCAAAACATGCATCAAACGTATTACGAACAGCAGCAGCAACAGCAACAGCGGCAGCAACAACAGCAGCAGCAGCATAATCAGCAACGGCAACATCTACATCGTGAGCAGCAAGACCAAGAGCAACAAGAAGAAGAACATCGTAAAATAGAGCAAATGGCAATGGGTACAAATGAAGAGGCAGATGCCAACGATGCTGCTATTGCAATTACAGTGGCAACGAAAGAACATGAGCATGAATTGCAAAGAGTCAAGAATGAGGAGCAACGACGTTCTCGTTCTCGTCCTCATCCCCATCATCATCATCATCATCATTGTTGTAGTCATGCTCGTCGCCGTAGTCGTCGAAGTTGCAATAATGTTGCAGAAATGCAGCCTCAGCAACAGTCGCCATTGCTGCAGCGGCAACATGAACGGAAATGGCTGTGGCAGCGACAGCGACAGCGGATGCAGCAGCAAAAGCAATGGCGTCAACGCACATGCCTCACGCTTGTCGTCTGTCTGTCAGCATTGCTGCCACTAGCTGTTGCAACAGCAGCAGCAAACACTCCTAGAGTGACACCAACACCAACACCAACAGCAACCCCAACAGCAACAGCAATAGCAACAACAACAGCCCCAGAATCGGCAACGACAATGGCCGAACGAGCAAAGCAGCTGGAGCAGCAACATGAAGCTAGACATGAACGTGCGACACGCTCGGCCAGCATTAGCCACAACAGTATGAGCAGCGTCGCCAGCAGCGGCGGCGGTCGCACTAATGCCAAAAGCAATGCTCGTGAATTGCTCTACGAACTGAGTGGCAACTCTGGAGGCGGTGGTGGGGGTGGTAGTGGTAGTGTTGTCGTTGTTGGCAATGCAGTTTCTGGTTTGGCCAGCGGCAGCGGCGGCAGCGGCGGCGGCGGCGGAGGAGCTGCAGGCATCGAGTGTCCCAGCTTTGATGATAGCTCGGCCTGTCCTTGCTACAAATTCGAGGATGGTAAGTATAATTGAGTGTGTGTGTGTGTGTGTTTGTATATTGGAAGGGGCAAGGCGCTCTCAGGCACCTGACCGAGCAACGGACCATACTGAGCGTACTAATTAAATGCAACACTGATGTTGGCCAAACACACCCAGAACCAGACCCAGACCCAGACCCTGAGAGCGCAGCATATAGCCGAGAGTGGTGCAAAGTTTATTGCATCCACAACGTGTGGACAAGCCCAATAACAAATCACAGCCAGAGGACTGTTTAGCTGAGTGCATGTACATATGTATGTACATTTATATATAACCACATGGGTGTGTGTGTGTATGTGTGTGTGTGTGTGTGTTGGCCACCATTTATACGCCAACACATGCTGCACATGCGAAGATTGTTTACTCTGACACCAGAACACGACTAGCTCGCGCACTGGCACATCTCTGTATGCACAAGGCGATGGCAAGTACAGTAAACACCGCTTGTAGTGAATATTTCTTTTTAGTTAATATGGCCAAAGCAAGTATTTTACAGTGAACACCGCTCGTAGTGAATATTTCTTTTTAATGTGGTCAAAGGAACTCTTTTTTTCTTGTTCATCAATTCAGTCTTTAAATCTGTTATTTTATACTAATAAATCAAATTTATTTAAAAATATATGTGGTTCCTCAAATATATACAATATATAGTAGGTACATACAGGATGCGCCATCTTTTATGTCGATATGTAAACATTGAATATCTTTGAAAATAAACAACAATATTTTTATTTAATTTGGTTCTGTACAATTTCTTGAACTGAGTTTTTCAACACTGGTCTACTCAAGTCAATCGGTTCACTAATGACAAAGTTATTCAATATCTACATACCGACATAAAAGATGGCGCACCCTGTATATTTTACGATAATGATTATCAGTTTTAACTTGTAAATATTGTCGCAGTACCAATTAATAATGGACAAACAAATAATTCGTGTATAATGAAAGTTGTCTTATTTAAATATATTTTTTGCATTATTTTGTTGTGAAACGTGGGTTGGTTTTGATATGAAATGAAGGGTAATTTAACGACCTATTTAAAAAATATAAATATGTTTGGGCAATAAATATAAGGTAGTGAGAGTGTCATGATCGAAGAAACCCTAGCCGTACCAATTAATAGTGGTTCGTATATCTTAGCATCCTTGATCCCAGAAAACACCAATTTGATGATAGCTCGCCAGCACGGTTTGTCTCACTTTCTCGCTCCCACACCTATGTGAAGTACCTATGTCTAATACATTTTAAAACTTTACAATACTTAGTATAACAAAACAGAAATATTCTATTTCTAAAAGCCAAGTCCTAGGCTTCAACTAATCTATGCGAACAATCATAGGTTGATCCAGGCAAGCGACAACTGCTCGTAATTTTCTTTAACAGCACTCGCCCTTGTAAAGACACTGGAAAAAACAGGCAATAAGAATGCACCTCAATAGTAGCTCAGAGTCTGTTTTTACTTCTATAACACCGTATTTGACTAACTGATCAGATGACAACATTTATTTCAAAATACATATACACTGAGTAAATATTAAGTATATCCCACCTATTGGTGATGAAGCTGATCTTTTAAGAGGTTGAGTTGGTCTTCACTTTACTGATACATAACTGAAATAAAATATATATTTATTTATATTGAAGAATTTAGAATTACAATTAGAATTTCATTATGTACATTCTTTTCTTAAGTATGTAACAAATACTTGTATTACAATTCAAGCCTTAATTTGATTTCAATTATATATAAACATCCATAGTAACACTTTTTCCATTCAACTTATGTTTTGCTTACATTTTCAACGCGATACCAAACACATTTTTGAATGCACTTTTATATTTTCGAATGGAATCGTGGTGTTTTGCAATTATTTTCCCGACTATACAAAAAGACAATTGGAATTGAAGTAATTACAAAAGAATCAGGGAATCAGTTGTTGCCAGAATCTTAGTTCAATTTCTATGCCACTATTTGACGAACATTTCGATGGTCCGGGCTTAACAGATTTGGAAATGGAGATTGAAATGCTTTCAGCATTGTGAGCATTTTCCAACACTATTTAATTTGTTAGTTCAAGCTAATTCAAGATCAAGCAACAATATTCTGTGATCGTGTTAAGGGACGATCTGCAAAAGCCCTAAGCTTGCATAAGAGACTGTTGCCCATTCCCTCTGCACTCGACACAGCACCAGACTATAGTGCCATTGTCCTTTGAGCTGACAGAGAACTATGATTGCCCGATATTAAATGTAAGCCTTTAAATAGAATACAAGTATACCCCTCGCTGCAGGCGGCTTCCATTGCAACTCTGCAACCCTTAGAACGAATCGGCGATTATAAATAGGAGGAGATGGGGAGGAGGGTCGATCCAGCACATGTCTGTAGATGTTTATTTGAATGGCATTTGGTTTTGTGGACGCAAGTCCTACACGATATTAACTAATGACAGCTGGGCGTGCCGGATGTAGGAAGCAAAGATAATAATATAAATTACGTAATAGATGAGCAAGTGCAATCAAATCCTATACAATGCACAGGCAGGCGTGGGCTACTGTGTGTGTGTGTGTGTGTGTGGGTGTGGATGTGTTTGTGGTCAAAGCTTATGGAGTTAAACTCATGTCGGCGACCATGACAACAACTAATTGAAATGCGTCACGTAAACGACTGCAGCAGTTGTTGCTAGGCATTGGCATTGGAATTGGCATTGGGATTGGGATGGGCATTGGGAGCATTGGGGCACTTGGGGAGAATAACACTGGCACTGGGTCTGGGACTGGAGCTGACAGGGACATTGTTATTTCTATTGTTATTGTTATAATTGCTCATTATTGCACATTTGCAGGCCTCTTTCTGGAGTGTCCCGGGACCACAGCCCTCTCGCTGCGCTCCACACTTGAACGCATCTCGGCCCCGATACACTCGCTTTCCATATACGATTTCGATCGCTCGGTCACGTCATTATCGCATGACGTCTTCCAGCCGGGCGTGCACATTCGCCACTTGCAGTTCTCTCACTCGCATCTGGAGGCGCTCAAGGACAACAGTTTGCGCAACGTCGGCAACACTCTCGAGTCGCTCAGCATCGTTAATGGCAAATTGACGCAGGTGAGTGATTGAACTACGAGCAAACATACATATTGCGTATACGCCACGTGTGCTCAGTTTGATTAAAAGCACCTAAACAGGGCTCCGCACTTAATTCTTATGGTTAAATACTATTTAAGGCAAGACCTGTGCGCTAAGAAAGTGATTTGAATTATCATCCAATCTTAAAATAAATTGTTAAGGAATCCAAAATGTATAAATCCATCGATTTTCGTTCAAGAAACTCGCACAACTGCGCCTGTGTTGGGAATCCAAGTGCATATTTTAATATTATAAATATTTTCCACAAAACACTGAAACACTTTAAGCCGTTTGGAAGTCTTTTTGCCAGAAATTGCAATTGATGTGCATTAGTTTAAATATTATACCTTAATTGCCATATCAAGTATGGACTTGCTCTACTCTTGATCCATTGCAATATTATTTTTGAAATTAAACACAAAGCCCATGCCGTGTTATGAATTTTGAAACGTGCATTAGAAGATTTCCACAAGTGTTATATTTTATTTGTATCGAACAAGCTGTAAGAAAAATAATTTAATTTATTCAAGTAAATAAAAACCGGAATTAAGAATTATAACTGAAACATTTTTCTTAAAATTTAATAACTGGTATAGGAAAGTGGTAGACAAATGCGAACTAAGTTAGAAGAATAAGTGTACATATGTATTTGTATGAACAGTTGCGGCTCAAATAATATTACTGCTTTGATACAATTCTGATGATTCTGATGCCAGAAAACTCTCTAGATAATACTCTCAAGATACTCTCAAGGTTTTATTAACTAAGCTTTTCCGATCTCCAGTTCTGAAAAATGAAAAGCGCATTAGAAACCTTAAGAACTGACAGGCTGCTCCTCAACAGTGACACGCAATGCTTTTAACAAGTACTTATATAAGTAATCCTAAAGATCGGTCTCCTGTAGTGTCAAATAGATTGATAAATCAGTTTATACGATACTCCAAGCTCGTTACACAATTCAACAACTCTTTCAATTCGACAAAGAGTATTCAGGTTGACCCTTAGAAAGTGAGGAACAACATTATTCCAATACCAATTAAATGATTGAAGATAAATAGAATGATGGCAAGAATCATCTAAAATAAAAGTGGGGCTATGTCGCTAAATGTGAAATTTCTGCAGGGTTAATAATCGGAAACACGCAGCTAAAGTCCCTTAAGTGCCCTAACAATCTCCCGAAGGCGTTTGTCAAGAGCTCCTGGCAAATTTTAATTGACTCCAAGCCTCGCCCGTTTGAGTCAATCCATCAGATGTCCTTTTCCACTTCTTCATTTCGTCTGCAGACTTCAATTATTTTCCTATATCTTGTTAGCACCAACATTGTTATAAGAAGTTAAGAGAAACGAAGGTTTGTTCTAAGTTCTTTCGTTTAATTAAAATGTTAAAATTTAAATCAACCGAATACCAATAATGAAACAAATACTATGTAAATGTGTTTGGAAAACACACATAAACTTATCCTCTCTCGGGCCTTAGAGAACTTGGATGTCATGTTTCATTATGCGTTACAGATATAGATGAATGGCCGGATGTCGTACTGATTAAGAATATATATAACTATATATAAGGGTCCGCCACGCCTTCTTTTGTGTGTTACACACACGCGCACCTAACAAGTGTACCCTTTGGGTACAGGGTATAAAAAAGGTAATTCCATTCGCTTCGAAAATTCCGTTGCCTACTTTCGGGGAGCGGCGAAAAATGTTTGGTGCGAAGCTCGGCTGAGCGCCCGGTTGTGGCGCGTTGCACGAATTTTCGACTGCGTGCGGCTGCTGTGGCAACGGCTGCAGCTAATTAGCGGCCAACGGCAACTGACAGCAGCAGCAGCAGCAACAGCAACATACGCGCCAATAATGTTAAATAAAGTTAGCAAATGGCTTTCTAAGCCATTAAATTTTGAAAGCAGCCGCAGCCGAGCAGTGGAAATCATAAAACCAGAAAGCATCGGCTGCCATAAAAAGTAATTTGCCTGCGCGTCGGCGAGTGCCGCGAATATAACAAATGGGTGGTTGTGGGCGCCGGAGTGGAGGCGTCGTCTGCGTAATTGGGTGTTCGTGGTGGCAAGAACAACAACAACAACGACAACAACAGCTACAGCTACACAAATGCGTTCAATAAAACAGAGTGGGATCAACAACAGCGGAGGCCGCACATGCATGCAACAAGGTGAGCCGAAATTCTAAGCACCACTTCAGGCTAATTTGCTCGAAGCCTCCAAGTGAAAGTTGTTGATTATTTCCAAGCTTTTACAATTTATTGCAAACAAATCGTAAAACAAAAAAAAAAAACGAGAAAAGTACTACAAAGTGGGATGATTATATGCGGCAGCTTAGTATAGAAGGCGCTGCTTAAGAGCTGGCCAAGGTTGTGGGGCGCGGGGTGGGACGCACTGTGGGTGTTTCGGGGTCAGTAGATGGTGTGGTGGTGCGGCGAGTGGTGCGCCTAGTGGAGCGTCTGGTTGTTGGTCTTCTCGTTGTGGTGCTGCGTCTCGTAGTGCTGGAACGTGCAGTGGGACGAACCGTGGGAACTGGCCTGCAGGCACGCGGCTTGTCGCCTACGTTCGCCTTACCACAGCGACGTCTATCGACTTCAATCCAATCTGAGAGAGAGAGAGAGAGGGGGAGAGAGAGAAAAGGAAGCATAAGAATAAGTCAGTGGGCATCCAATCCTCTACTCACTGTTGCGTGGGCGCGTGAAGCAATTGTTGTTGCGCAGTTGGCAAGCGCCGGTCAACAATTTACATTGCTCGGTGTCCCTGGCACGCACACACACCGGTCTCCGGGACGGGGGGCAAGTGACGCGGCGACGAGGGCACGGCGAGAAGCAGCTTCGCTCGTTTGCAGCGCCCAGCCCTCTAACTGTGCGGCAATTCGCGTCACGTGTATGCGTCCACCTGGGACTTGGGGTGCTCCGACCAGGAGTCAGAGGACGTACGCCCCGATTCACCGAGAGCAGTTCGCAAATGTTGACGAAGCGACGGCAGACACCGTCGCTGGTGCGGCCACAGACACGCGGACTGGTGCGTGTGCAGATTGCGGGCTGCCGGCAAGGAGGCCACTCCGGCCGTATGGTTACCCGATCTGTCGGGCGGACAGTGGAGCGGCGCGTCGTTGTCGTGGTCGCCAGGGCGAGCAGGGATAAGAGCACGGCTGCATCTGAGATAGATTTAATTTTTAGGCATTTCAGAAATAAACCCTCGGAGTCCTTTGAAACTTACTCAGCAGAGTGGCCAGTTGCCTGTTCTTCATTTTCCTAATTGTGGTTGAACTTTGCTGGATAAGTTACTGGATCGACTACTGAAAGCCTTTGATATCTTTTGGACAACTCCACTGGTTTTTATACCAAGTCGACTGCTGACTGCTGCTGGCAAACCAAACAATAAATGGTAAAGAATCTGCAGAAAGCAACACATTCTTTACAACTGCACGCGCCATGCCATCCCTTTGTTATTGAAAGCTGGTTGAGATATTGAGACATTGACACGCGTACACTGGTTGCTGCTGTTTTTGTTAAATATCTTTTCTTAACACTTAATTCTTCTGTCAGCTCTGAAGCTCTACAATACCCTAAACTTTTATGCCAACAACCAGACGGACTTCATAAAGAACATTTTTGATTATAAACAAGCCTGACTCTCTTAGGAGAGATATTTTCGTTAAAGTGCAATACATTGGATCTAAGGGAAGAATACTTAGGCAAGGAATAAATAAATCTAAGGCATCTCAGAGTTCAAAGAAGGAGTATTAGTCTTCAGACTAAGAAAATATTTGCAGACTGATTGAACGTGTTGAAGGCAAAGGGACACTTCAAACTTTATGTGCATAAAATGAAGGTCTTACCTACCAGAAAACCCGAGCTTAATTCTTTACATAAAATAGTTCTTTCGTCCATGAATCAAATAAGACACAAGTAAAATTTTAACAAAAAAAAAAAAACAAGCCGATCTAGAGCAGTGAATGCTTTTTTTTTGTCATTTAAAGTGATTTAATGTTTGAGGATGATTCTGAAGTAACAGCATCCTGCTCAGGAATAGAATTTTCAGCTATGTGGACTAAAAGAGCTATGCTTAAGGTAGTTTTCTCATAGATGCCATTGGCAGAACTAGGCCAATTTAAAAGGGGACCAAACGGAAAGCATCAGCTTTCAAATACAAAAAGAATTATCAAGATCGGTTCGAAACATAAAAAATTCATTTAAATAATTCAGACGATTTGAAGTCGTTTAAAAATAGCAATAATAATTCTTGGTACATCTGAAAACTAGGAAGATCACTCATTTTCTTGCTTAGTCCAGAACTCTAAGAAACATAAAACACAATGCAGATGGCCAATAAGACCTGCTTTTACAGTTCTTGTAATATTCAAATGAATCGTGAATACTTGTATGTTGCATTTAATTGTGAACATCTTGATACGCAAACGATAATTACCGAGAAGTAAAAACAGTTTCTGTTTCTGCACAACAGATGCGCCGTATATAGCACAGTCTGTTGAAAGTAATGAATGGAAACGGGGTCTCAGAACAAACGGCTCGAGGTATTCAGGGGTCGAACAATGCCTTAGAGTACAATACACGTGGCTGAGCCGAAACGATCTCTGCCTGTATAAATAGTGAATCGCCGGCATGGAGTAGACATCAGCAAACCAGCATTTGCAACTCCCACAAGCCCAGCAGTCCAGATAACCATGTCGAAGATTTCCATTTGCCTTCTGCTCTTCGCCATCTGTGTCGTCGTATCCGTAAATGGTGATAACCGGCCCCCATGCCTGGGCCGTTGTAATCCAAGGGTGCCAAGTCGCTCGGCCTGTGTGAGGGACAAGCGCACCAATATTTGCCGCAAGCTGCCCGTCTGCCGGCTCCGCGAGGAGAACTGCCGTCTGCGTGATCTCGGCCTGCCCCAGCGTAGTGAGACCCGCCTGGATCGCTGCCGCCTCATCGCTGGACCCGTGGGCAGTGCCAAGTGCGCTTCCCGCCCGGACGGTGGTAAGAAGGGTGCCAGGAGCAGGCGCGACTGCAAGCTCCGCAAGTGTGTGGACACCAACATAGCTGCTGGCTGCTGGGCCACCGAGGACAAGCGCTGCGTTCTGCTGACAAGTTGCGAGGCGTCCCGCCGCAACTGCCGCAGCAATCTCAAGGACAGGGTCACCCGCACCAGTGAGAGGCGCTGCCGTGGCCTTAAGCGTGGCGAAGGTCTGCGTCGCTGCAGGAGCATCATCATTAAGGACTAAAGGGATCCACACACGCCCAGGACTCTTTGTTGACTACTGCACTTCTTAACTACTTCCTTCCTTTTTTTTTTTTTTGTTTACTCTACTCCTTGACAAACGATAAGAATTCAAAACGCCCATAAATATTTCATAATGTCCCAGCAATAATAAAAATAAATATAATTTTATGGCAGCAATTTTTTGTGTCTCTCAGTCTTCGGTTCGTTCAACTTGGAGCAGCCAGGAACCAGGAACTGGTAGCTGGTAACTGGCACTGGCACTGGCAACTAGGCTGCTAGGCGGCTAGGCGGCTACCAGGGGCTGGGATGGGCCATAAATTTGGCACGACTTTGCGCTTTTGGACGGCGCAAGGCGCAAAGGCAGAAAAAAAAATAATAATAATAATGGCGGCCAAACGGCGGCGAGCGCGCAAAGGTTCAATAAATTAAAATCGACTGCCATAAATTTTCATGTCGGTACATTAATTAAAAAGCCGTAATTCGCTAGCATTGTCACGCCCACTGAATCACCTGCATTGTCCTGCGCCGACACCGCCATAGAGCGATAGTGCCAGGCCCTATCCTTACACGCTCGTATAACTTTGCAGTTACAGCGAAAATTTAACAAATCAACGCAATTAAAATCCAGACAGATGGAGACAAACACACTCGCATGCATATGTATGCACACTCCTATATACAAGTATAGTACAGCAATTTATAAATTCATTTTCACTTTGGTTTTAATGCACATTGCGTCACTGGGCTGGGTCACTGGCCAGAAGAGAAATATTGGCATGAGTTAAAAAATTAAGCAGATTACGCTTGCAAATTGCTCGCAAACGGGCACAACAACTCATATCATCGAAAATTTAAGTTAATCGATTTAACACTGTATAACAGGACAAGGAAAACATGGAAAAAGGCACAAAAGGTATACCAGAAGGGCTGCTGAGGAACCACATTAGCTGAGAAACTAGACCATTCCCGAAAGTGTCAGCACTGGTCTCGAAACGGATACAAGAAGAAGCAACTCCGGAGAAGGTGTACACGGGTGGCGATTCGGAGAGTTGCCAAAAAAAAGAACGAACAACAAATCAAATCAAAATGTTCACTAAAATTCACCCCAATCTTTCTTAAGACAGCTATATACTCGTATGTATTTAAAATAATGAGGGTGTACTAAAGTGAAAACTCCCTTAACGGACACCTCTTTTATCCGGACACCCCCCTTATGTGCCCCCTTTTTTATATAACATTCGTTTTGGTGTACTTTTTAGAGCAATTTCGCTTCTCTTGTGCGGACACGGATTCTATTTATTGAAAAATAACTAAACCCTCTATTGACTGGAATCGAACCACTTGGAAACAAACGTTGACATGGGTAGAACCGCCCGATTTTAAATAAACCCTCTCTTACCAAGACACGTACATCTTTCTTATGGGAGTTTCAAATGTATGCTAAATAATTGTAGCGATGCTCTTCATTAAGTTTGATCATCCGTATTCTCAATATTTATTTTATTTCTACTAATTTCTTTCTACCCATGTGCTCTATTATTATAAAACAACGTAGAACTCCATCTTTTTCAAATTAAATTTGTAGTTATTTAGCTCAGGAATGGTTTGAAAAGAAAAATACTATTGCATTATAATAATTTGGAATATTTAACAAACATACGTTTTTTCTGATATACCTGATAGTTTATATTGAATAAAGTACATTTATTTTAATCGCCTAATGGAAAAACAATTAAAATAAGCACAAAATGAAGGGAAGTGTTTCCCTTGGCCGGACAAAAGTTGGCCGATGTATATAAAATTTATTTTCAACGTAAGCTGTCATACTCATATCCATGACATGAAGTCTGCCACGCCTCCCCCTAGATGTTCAATAGATTCCGACTTTTTATAAGCTCTTCATTCTTTGGACTAACTAGAAAAAATTCAAATGGAAAAAAGGCAAAGAATAATATTATTGACAAAATTAAAGCAACAATAAACGACCAGGAAAAAAATCGAAAATAGAAACTTAAGAAATACTTTGTAAGCAAATAAACACGGCCAAATACTAGTACACGCAATGGTATAAAAGGAATATAAAAGGACGGCATTAAGGCAATTCTGCAGCAACTGCAGGATCTCAAGCATCTCAAGGAGTCTTTTAAATCAACAACTCCCACCATGGTGACAGAGAATTAAGAGAATTTCGTATCTTCAACTCCAAATCGTTTGATTTGAATCGACCAATAAAATTAACTTAAAGAACCAAGTATCTAAAGCACCAAGAATCGGAAATCGAAATGCTTGAATCGATAATGAACAGCAGTGTCGATTTCCGATTACTTGCATTTATGTTTGATGCCCGAATATTCGGCTTGATATCCTTTTAGCTGATTTATGATTTAGTTTTGATTTTGCTGGCCATTAACCATACTTACGAGTATAGTAGTTGCACGTTTTTCGTTCTGTTTGTAATCGATTCAAAGATAGAGTAGCGTCCAAGGAATAGCTGTTCAATGGAATTAAATCATAAAAACCATTTTATTCCTCTTTAAGCATAAACATAGGCATAGCTGGCGGATTATAACCAGAATGCAATCATTTGAGTAAGCTACCCAATTGCTGCGATTACACTAAATACGATAGATAAAAGGATCTATCCCTTCATGGGTAATAGGTAGTACACAAACACATTGCTGTAAGCAAGAAGTCAATAGATAAGCACTAGAATGATGACGAGACTGTAAGTATATAAGAACAGTATTCTTCATCAATTGAACTCATTTGAATTCTTGACATGTACATTACTTGTCTACACGGAAGTCCTCACAACTGAATGGACAGTTCGGATAACTAGTACTTTAAACAATTTGTCTGTCGTTTCACAGCACTGTTTCTCGGGTCGTTTATCAATGCTACTAATGGCTGGTGGGTGCCAAACTAATT